TCCGCAGCATCATCATCACCACCACCATCGTCATCGTCATCGTCATCAGCCTCCTCCTCCTCCGCCTCCTCCTCCTCGCTATCATCATCATCAACATCATCACCATCCCAATTGCCCGTGTTATCCAAGCCCTGGCCTCCCCGCCCGTCCTGCCTTCTCCTCTTCCCCTCGCTCCCTCGCCCACCTCACTGACAATCCTCCTGCCCAGCCCCGCGGTCCTCGGCCCATTGCTCCAAGATTTTGAAACGGTCCGAGACGGTCTCCTTCCAGCTCTTCTTGATGTGGAGGAACATCAGGGCGTCGCTCCACTCGTCGTAGTCCGTCCACGGTGGTCCCATCATAGCACAGCGCGCTGCCATCGTGGTAGCGGCGCGCCACCCTTCTGCTCCTCCGCCCATCTTCCACGCGATCCCCCCGATCGTCATGTACTCCCCCTGCTTGATCAGGTCCTTGGTCATGCTCTGCTCGCGACTGTAGGTGGTCCTGTGCTCCGCGGCCGCCTTCTGCTGAGCCCACGCGGCACGAAAGGCTGCCATCGCCTCCCGATTCGCGGACTGCGCGCGGGCCTTCTTCTCGGCGGCATTCTTCGGGTCGTTGATGCATCGGTCCCAGCGGCCATCCATGATCTCGCCGCTCGGGTCGCCTGGCCTGGCCGTGGTCGGGAACTTACAACCAGCCGCCTCCAAAGTGTCCCGCAACACCATATCCTTGTTCTCCTCTGTGTCCTTCTTCATGCGGAGGTCGACGGCCTGCGTGCTCTTGAAGATGCCCTTGAGCGCTGACGCAAACCCCTCCGGAGTGTCGGTCGTCGTTGGCGTGCGGGGCCAGCATCTGGATATTCTCCCTGAGCTTCTCGAAGCTCAAGTTCTCGAAGTCAGACGGGTGAAAATTGGGCAGCACCTTCGGCGGCGTGCCAAAGCCACTCGGACCTGTAGCGGATCCTGTGCCAGCGGCGTGGTTGCCGATCTTGGACGGCACATTGCTGCCTGGTGGCGGGGGTGCATGCCGACGCCATGTCTGGAGCGAGCACCTGTTCATCATCAGACTCGATCTCTACTGTGGGCGACGGCGGAACGGCCGAGGCGGGGGCGCGGTCCGAGGCCAGCGGCGGCACCTGCTCGACGTCTGATGCCACCTCGATGGCCTGGGGCGCCGCAAGCAGAGCGGCGCCAAAGGGCAGCGAAGCCCCGTGGAAACGGATGAATGAAGGCCCTGTGGATCCGTAAGTGAGGCCAGCGGGTAAGAGATCCGCGGGTCAAGGGCCCAGTGGGTCAAGGGCCCGGTGGGCGGGGGATTCGAGCGCAAGGGGCCCGTGGCCTAGGAATCCGACGGGGAAAACCGACTTCGAAACAATTCCCGAACTTGCAACCTCCATCCCTGCGAACCCTACTGGATTGCGATGCAACTCCATTGCTCCCCTGGGCCTCGTTGCTGAAGGCTGTGGTCAAGCGCTCAGCGTCAGCCAACAGCCGCTCCCCCTCCTCCATGTCGCTGCGGCCGCCTGGAATGACCGCCATTTGGGCCATGCTGCCGGGGGCGGGAGCCCCGCGAGCGTGGGGCCTGCGGATGGGGACTGGCCCCCGAGTTTATTTGAGCACGGTAGCGGTTGCGGCCTCCGAGCTGTCTCCCTACTCCCGCCGTTCGCTATCACCTCCTGTATTTGTTTTGTTGCGTGGGCCCCTCTCCTCCTCCTCCCCCTCCTCCCCCCCCCTCCTCCTCCTTCTCCTCCTGCTACTCCTGATGTGTGGATTCCTCTCATCCTGCACGCCCTCCCCATTTCCAGATCTTACTGGATCTTCTGTGCTAATCGTTTTGATCCTCACCATCATCGTGATATTCCTCCCTCTTTTTTTGTTCGGGTGGGGGTGGGTGATTGCGTGGGCGCCCGAGGAAACGCGAAAGCTCTGGGGGGATGCAGGAGGCGCAGCAGCAGCAGCGGCAGCGACGCGACGGCACGACGCCACACCACGACAGCTCGACACCGCGATGCCGCGGCGACAGCGTGAAACGACGACGCCGCCGCGCAGCGACGCCGCAGCGCCTCGACATCACGACGCACCATCGTTTCACGACGCGCCGCGACTGCGCGACGCCCCGCGAAACTATCGCGGGCTGCACAGCAAGGCCAGCCGCAGATTTCTGCAGCTACGCCTTGAAATCTGCAGCTAGACAGCAGCCGCAGAATCTGCAGCTTGCGACCCTCAGGGAGAGGTGCCGCCAAGTCGCCAGGATGGAGGTGCTGAAGCGGATGGATGATCGAGCTGCTCGCGCTGCTTTGGATGCCAGGCCTCGCGCGGTGCAGGAGTTTTCTCCAGGTGATCGCGCGGCAGTCTGGCGCCGAGGCCGTGGAATTCCAAGAAAGAAGGCACGTGCTAGATGGCGAGGATCTGGAGTTATCATTGGTCCCGTTCGAGGGAACTACTGGGCGGCGACGCCGGGCGCGGTGTTGAAGGCGTCTCTTGAGCAGCTACGCCATGCGACGGAGGAGGGAAAGCTGGCAGAAGAGGTCGCGCGTCCTGAGCTGCAGACGCTGGCTCGGGAGTTCATGTCCAGAGCTGGCCCTCAGAGGGGCTTCCTGGACATCACCGACGAAGGTGGACCGCCTGCTGCGGCTGGTGCGTCTGCAGCTGCTGGTGAACCACCTCGAGAATCTGTCCCTGAAGCCGTGGCGCGAGATTCTGGTCAAGAAAATCCCGGCGGCGCAGCCCTGGGTTCAGAGTCGCCAGGACAGGTGACCAGCACCGAGGGCACCCCTTCCACAGGAGGCGGGGGATCAGCGAGGGTTGCTGGCACCTGGTCCGTTTCGCTGGATCAGCGTGCTTCAAGTAGCGTGTCGCGGGCGTTGCTGGAGGCATCAGGTCACGCTGTTGGTGGTATGACTTATCCAGCTAGCCTACCATTGCCACCAGCTGCAGCAGCTAAACGAAAGGCTGAAGTGCGTCAAGAGGATCTTCGTCGACGAGATGAAGCTCTGCGACATCGACCTGATGGAGGCTCGTCTGGAGCAGCTGTCTTCTCGGACGAGGTGGAGGATGAGGAGGAGCTTGGAGTTCTGTGCGTTGGCCAGCGCGACGACGCTGAGGTAGACGACGTGTTGCTGACAAATGGCCGGAAGGAGATTAACCTCAAGCATTCGAAGTGGTGCGCCGAGGAGAGTAAGGCTACGGTGGCGGCTGGTATTCAGAAGGAATGGAACAATGCGCACTCGGAGAAGCAGGCGCTGAAACCCCTGAGCTCGGAAGAGTCTGCCCAGATTCGTCGTGAGAGCTCGTCTCTGTGGTCAAGGATATTATGATCCTGATTTGCTGCAGTGGTTCGTGAGCGGAAGACTTCATCACCGACATTATCCCACAGTGGGAAACTTGCTGTGTACCGACTTTTGGCGTCTAACAAATTCAGGATGAATATTGCTGATGTGACTGGTGCTTTCTTGGAAGCTGATGAGCTCAACCGGTCGACGGGCAAGATCTCTCTTCGGCAACCGAACTGTGGTTTTCCTGGTCTTTCGCCGGACCAAATCCTGGTGGTGGTGCAGCCCATCTACGGCCTGAACAGCTCTCCGGCCATGTGGTGGCAGAAGTTCCGTGATACTCTTTTGCAGTGGAGTCCTGAGTCTGGGGACTCAGGCTGGGTCCAGTCGAAGATGGACCCATGCATTTTCTACTTGTACGAGGAGGGCAAGCTGTGTGGCCTCGTCACGACGCATGTGGATGATACGCTTTCCGGAGGCGTTGGTGAAAAGTATCGGCTCGATATTCATCATCTTCGCAAGTCATATCCGTTTCGGAAGTGGTGTGTTGGTCAGGGAGAGTTTTGCGGTTCCTCGCTGTGGCAAGATCCTAAGACGTTTGATTTGATTATCTCTCAGCAAGGTTTCGCTACCGAGATGAGGCCTGCTGGTGTGCGACCCCGATGTTCTCCCGATCTTCCTGCTACCGAGCGAGAGATTTCGAACGTTCGAACCATGTTGGGTGCTGGGAACTGGTTGGCTCGGGAGACCCGTCCAGACATAGCGGTTCAGGTATCGATGGGGCAGCATATATTATTACCGAAACCGACGGTCGGGCAAAGACGACATGTTAACAATCTCGTTCGACGGGCGAGGCAGTTCAATTCGATGCGACGGCGAGTGCGACATATACAGCTAGATCAACTTCGATTGGTTGCTCATGCTTATGCCTCGAATAAGAACGCTGCAAATTCAGAAACTCAAGCAGGCTATGTTATTGCGGCTACTGACGAAACGATGATCCAAAACATGCTTGCCCCGTGGAGTCCGTTGTGCTGGCGTAACTACCGTTTCCGTCGAGTTACGGCTTCTACTCTAGCGGCTGAAGCTCAAGTGCAGATGGATGCCCTTGGCCATGTGGAGTGGCTGGCATGTATCCTCCTGAAGGCCCTGGACCAAAATTTCTCTCTGGAAGCTCGGTCAAAGTTTCTCCCTCGCCTAGGCACCATAGCAGTATCTGATTGCAAATCCCTATACGATCATATGGTGTCCTGTAGTAGTGCAGGTACGGCAACAAACAAGCGCGTAGCAGTAGACCTCGTGCTTATCAAAGAAAATCTAAAACGCTTGGGAGCCACAGTAAGATGGATACCTACCACACTACAACTAGCGGACATATTCACTAAGGACAACGTGGAGGCGGCAGATCTAATACGGGCTACTATGGTGACGGGGGAGTATCAACTTGCCGACGAACCTACAGTGTTTGCTGCTGCTGCCTGGGAACGGGAACGTAGAAGGCTCCTCTCGGCGCAAGTAAGGTCGAATTCAACCGCAGCGGCCCTATTTCTGCAAGACCTTCGGGGGCATGGTCAAGTACGCGACATCATTGAGCGAGGTGGAGGTGCGAAATTTCCTCGAGGGCTTCGCCTCAGGTCCCTCGGATATCACGAACGCCGCCGGGAAGTGCCACGTGACGACTACCATGGCGACGCTGGCCAGCTACGACGGCCCACAAGCTCGCATCACTGTGCACCTAACGTGATGCAAGGGCTCGGGCTACACCTCGATTCGAACGAAGTCGGTGGTGGAGGACGAGGCTTTCCGGATGATAAGGTCTCTCGACACGGTCTACAAGAAACTCATGAAGGGCGAAGTGATTCCGGCTCCAGATGGAGGCGAGACGGCGGTGCTGACGTTCCGTAGTCCAGCTTGGAGCGACTACGAGGTGTTCAAGTCCCCGGAGAAGGTGGCATCGGGCGACTGGCAGACAGCAGAGGGTCGGCCCCAGCGCAGCCATGTGCCCGACAGCGAGGGCTGCCACCTCGGGACCCAGACAATCTGCGACACTGTCAACGCGGAGCTCAACGACCACCCGCTGCTCCGTGCGAAGCTGCTCCGCCTGCCGGTGAGGGACGTTGGGGCCACCGAGAGAAATCTGACCGACACCGAGGTTCCGACCTTCCCGACGAGTGAGGACGGCAAGATGAAGCTGGAGCGCTAAATAAACGACTATGCTGATGCAGTGTGAGCAGTCTCCCGGGTCACCACGAGTTTAAAGATACTTGATGAGTGCCGATCTGAGGTGCCTCGGGTGGGGGGAGCCTGCCTTCAGACAGTGTGCGTGCACGTGCTGGCTGAAGCCATTTCGGCCCGGTCTCAGGAGAGAAAAGGCGCGCGGGGTCGCGCCTCGCGGGGGATCTGCAGGATGTCTCGAGCGAAATGGCCACATCGCCGTCACCCGCCAACGAAAAATCAAATGCAACCCCGAACCCCATATAGTAAGAGATTTTAACTATGATGCAGATTCAGCCAGAACATCCAGTTCGCTTCTCGTACCTCGAAGGCGCTTCCCGTCATCCGCCAACGAAAAATCAAGTGCACCCCGAACCCGATGTAGTAATAGATTTTAAAACACGATGCAGATTCGGCCAGAACGTCCAGCTCGCTTCTCGTACTTCAAAGGCGCTTCCCGTCATCTGCATGTCTAACATGAAAAGATCTTAAACAATAGACTCCAGCATCTCGATTGTGTGAGGATGTCTCAGGCAAAATGGCCATTCTGGGGAATACGACAGACCTTGGCCACGGAGCAATCCCGAGCCCTTCTCCCCTCAGACTCCCCCCCGTTGATGCTATTTCCCTCCAGGCCGAGACCAACGTCCATCGCGCGACTCTTCGAGTCTATGCGCGCTTCCCGTCATACGCCAGGTCTTGATCAGAGAGCAATCCCGAGACCTCCCCAATTGATATATGTTTCCCTCCGGGTCCGCACCAACGTCCATCGCGCGACTCTTCGAGTCTATGCGCGCTTCCCGTCATCCCGATACCTTCCCCCTCTGGACTCCCCCAATTGAAAATATTTCCCTCCGGGCCGAGACCAACGTCCATCGCGCGACTCTTCGAGTCTTAGCGCGCAACCTTTCTTGACATGAAGCGCGTGAAATCAAAGAGATTGGCAAGAACGTGCACCATCATCAAGTTCGCATGTCGCGTAGGCGCTCTTCCGAACTTCCACAGGGGGTACCAGGGGGACTTCGCTATCCGCGCAAATTCAGACGTGCCGCTGATCCCGAACGTCCGCAAAAAGAACCAGATGGAGTTCACGATCCGCCCAAACTCCGACGTGCAGCTCACCCCGAACGTCCGCAAAGGACACCAAATGGAATTCACCATCCGCGCAACTTCTGTCACCGCTCACCGCGCCAACGTCCACAGAAGTTACCAGGCATGCTGGGTAGAGCTCGTGCCCTGGGCCCTCCCCCTCCTCCTCTTACAACTCCTCCCCCTCCTCCTCTTACCTGGCTGTGGAGGAGAGTCCATTGTTCCTCTTCCATTGCCCCCTCCTCCTCCGCCTCCTCCTCCGCCTCCTCCTCCTCCCTGCCTCTTCCTTCCTGCCTCCTCCCTGCCTCCTCCCTGCCTCCACCTCCTCCTCGTACTCCTCCTCGTACTCCTCCTCCTCCTCCTCCTCCTCCTCCTCCTCCTCCTCTTCTTCCTCCTCGTACTCCTCCTCCTCCTCCTCATCCTCCTCCTCCTCGTACTCCTCCTCCTCCTCCTCCTCCTCTTCCCCTCCTCCTCCTCCTCCTCCTCCTCCTCCTCTCCTCCTCCTGCCTCTCCTCCTCCTCCTCCTCCTCCTCCTCCTCCTCCTCCTCCTCCTCCTCCTCCTCCTCCTCCTCCTCCTCCTCCTCCTCCTCCTCCTCCTCCTCTCTCCTCCTCCTCCTCTCCTCCTCCTCCTCCTCCTCCCTCCTCCTCCTCCTCCTCCTCCTCCTCCTCCTCCTCCTCCTCTCCTCCTCCTCCTCCCCTCCTCCTCCTCCTCCTCCTCCTCCTCCTCCTCCTCCTCCTCCTCCTCCTCCCCTCCTCCTCCTCCTCCTCCTCCTCCTCCTCCTCCTCCTCCTCCTCCTCCTCCCCCTCCTCCCCCTCCTCCTCCTCTCCTCTTCCTCCTCCTCCTCTCCTCCTCCTCCTCCTCCTCCTCCTCTCCTCCTCCTCCCTCCTCCTCCTCCTCTTTTTCCTCCTCTTTTTCCTCCTCCTCCTCCTCTCCTCCTCCTCCTCCTCCTCCTCCTCCTCCTCCTCCTCCTCCTCCTCCCCCTCCTCCTCCTCATCCTCATCCTCATCCTCATCCTCATCCTCATCCTCATCCTCCTTCTCTTCCTCCTCCCTTTTTCTGCATCGCGCATGCGCGTGTGCACCTGTGCGTCGCGCCGCGCACTCGCACGCCCACTGCCGACTCACACAGCCTCTCTTGCAACGTTCCCCTCACCCCGGAATTTGGCCCCTCCCCCCGGCCGGCCCCCTATCGTCGGCCGCGCTGTATCCCCTATGGGTGGATCCGGCATGCCACTGCTGCCTCTGAACTGGCCCGTGCCCGCGCCCACTCCTCCTCCCGGCCCTAGCACGATTCCGCTTCGCAGGTGCGCGCGTGGCCGTGGCGCTGACAGAAAGACAACACATGTCTGTGCGACGGCTTGGGGCCGCTTGCTCAGGAGGCAGATGACCTCCGAATGGCCTCGCGAGCTCATGCTGAACGCGGGCACTCCCGCCGCCCTCGCTTCGCCCACGCCAGCGTGAGCCGCTCGTCCGAGCGATCCGACAAGGACACGGCTCGAGGCTCTGCTCAGGAGGCAGGTAGCCTTCGAATGGCCGCGCAGGGCCCATGCTGCACACAAGCGGCCCCCCTTTCTTGGCATCACCCACACTAGCATGGCCCGTTCGCTCCAGGGGGCGGCGAGGACTGGCACCACGCGCGAAGCTCCTCAATGCTGCCGATCAACTGCGCGCGCTGTCGGCACTGCAGCCAAGAACACGCGACGCGCGCGCGCGCCTGTGCGCGCGCCGCGGTCGCACCTGCTTGAACGGCCGCCCGCTGGCACTACTGGTGGCCGCGCGGACGGCCACCCTGCGGGTGGCTGACTTCAGCTGGCCTCAGACCCTTCGGCTCCCGAGGGCTGACCCAGACTGCGCGTCCGCTCGACTGTCTGGCCAATCCTGGCACGCTACTGCACATGTTCTACACTAGTACACACTGTTTACGCTTGTCCTCTTGCTCCATGGGTGCACTCCGACGCGAAACTTCCGCCTGGTCGCCGCATCGACAATTCTCGGGCCCAACTCCTCGTCGCTGCACAGCTCATCCTCGCGCTTCACGAGGCCATCGTCCGCGACGGGGCGCAAGTCCACGACGCCCATGTAGCTCTGGACGCACCTCCTCGCCCCCTCACACGGCACGCCTTGCTTTATCCACTCCGACGACGCCTCCGCCCACGATCCAGGCGCTCCGCGGAAATCCCGCAGGCGCGGCGCTCCACGGTCGACGTCGCCACGAAGCGCGAGCGCCCGAAAATTGATCATCCTTGGGGGCCCGTTCCCATCCCCCCCCCCCCGCCCCGTGCTTCGGCTGCGGCGCTCCATGGGAACCCGGGCTCCTCGGGCGCTCGTTCCGCGCGAGCGCCCGCGCGTGCCTCGGCGCGCCCACCTCTGGGACATCCTTTAACGGTGCCCGCGAACAACTCCCATCTGCCGTATTCGCATATTCCACTCCCGCTACCAACGCACCCCCCTCTGCGCGCCGCCCTCGCCAGCCCCCGCTCTCTTCTGGTCTGCATCGCGGACCTTCTCAACCCAAGACGGCGGCGGCTCCGCCCGGTGCTCGTTGCCGACCGCAGCCGACATCTCCGCCCCGCTGCGCGGGAAGGCTGCCAGTTCCACACGCCGGCATCGCAAGAACTCGCACAACGACACATGCGCCAAGTCGGGCGCCCCTGGATCGCCCACCGGGCGCATGCCGCACAAGCGCACACGACTCTTGGATGCGATCCGAACCTTTTTCGACCCCTGCCGTTTATCCGCACCCCAAATCCCCGACGCTGCCACGAGCGCGCCGCCCCCGTCTGCGCAGAGCCGCCCAGCCATGCGCACTGCTTCCGCCCCCAGAACCATGGCTGTCTTCGCAGTCCTGACAATCTTGGCACCCGTCACGTCTCTTGCGTCTCTGCGCGCGCAGGCTCGCACTCCCCCTCGCTGCCCGCGCCGCGCCTCTCCCGCGCATGTCACCGAAAAACATCTTCATGCGCCCATTGGCTCAATGCGCCGCGGCCGCGTCTTTCGTCTGCTCCGCCAGCGCGCGGCGGCCTTTGTGGACCCCCCTCACCTCGTTAAAAAAACGGGGCACGCCGCTTGCACTGATAGTCCGCCGCATACCCCGCCGCTGCAGTCTGCGCTCGCTGCGCCGCCACCACCGCGTCCATGGGCCAACCCGCTTCCAAGCACCGCTCTTCGCACGCCCAACTATCGCGCGTGGCTTCCGTCGCCGGAAACCTGCGCGGGATCCGCAGATCGCCATGGAAATTCACCCCCACCGAGCAGCTGAGCATCGCTGCGAGGGTGCCGTTCAGGTTCCCCTCGTTCATGGGCCCGCGCGAACAACCTGTCGCGCCCCTCCTGCCTGCTCGGGGCACGTTACGCGCTTCCAACAAAAAACCAGCGCAGGACCACTCCGCGCGCTATCAACCAAATCGCGCGCGGGGCAAAGAACTTGCATTGCGTCGATCCGCCCTTCCCCTGACAATGCGCCAACGGCACCACGCGCTGCAAACGCTTGCTACACTGGCGAACGTGGTTCCGTCGAAACTCCTGCCCCCGTCGTACCCAGACGCCCAGATGCTCCTGCAGCCACGTTCGCCCTTCCTCGCTGACGGGGTCTCCGTTATCTGCCTCACTTGTAGCGGGCGCGCGCTCGGCAGCGTCGCCCGTTGTTTCCCCCCCGCCGCCCCCCGACTCCCCCGCTCCATTAGTCTGACCGCTGCGCAAATAATCCGGCGCCGCGCCCGGGTCCGTCGTCTCGCGGCGCGCGGGCCACGCCTTCTCCACCTCCGTTTTCCGCTGCCTCCATCCTTCTTCGCCAACGCACCGTCGCGGCGCCCCCGAGCAAAACCGCGCGCTCGCAACCGGAGTACTTCGGACAGTAGCGCATACCCAGAATGCATTCAAACAAGAGGCCCACCATGACCC